ACTAAAACTAAAACAATGGAAAAACCCTTAAGATAACATGTAGAAAGAAAAAAACATTTTAAGCGTGCAGAATAACATAAGTGGACTTTGAACGATTAATTGCCGCTTTGAACGATTACGTAATTGTGGCATCCATAATTGTAATTGCGATTAGAAATTCGATCAATTGTGCAGTCCTAATTTGAGTTATTTTAGTAGTTATTTTATTTTTGAGTTATTATTAGGTTATTTGAGTTGCCTTTCTATCAGCTTGAACCAGTCTGGCCGTTCTCCTCTAACCTCTGGCATCATCAAGGCATTTTCGGCCATAGAACTGCCACTCACTGGATATTTTCTCTTTTTCAGAACATCCTCTGTAAACCCTTGAGATGGTTGTGCATAAAAATCCCAGTAGATCAGCAATTTCTGAAATTAGATCTGCTGGTCTGGCCATGCCACATTCAAAGTCACTTGAACCAGCTTTCTTTCTCATTCTGATGCTCAGTTTAAACTTCAACAGGGGTGCGTTTCCCGAAAGCAACTATGGTCGCAAGTTCCGTCGTTACCAATAGATTTCAATGGAACTAACTACCATAGTTAGCTAATGGTGTGTTCAAGTCATGTCGGATAGATCGTATTTACGAGTTGAACGCACATGAACGCCACCACAAAGTAGTTATTACGAGTGGGAAACTCGAAATTTTCTTTAAGCCCCGAGTTTCCGAGTTGGGGGCGTGTCAATGAGAAACATGGCGGAATCGATGGATGCGACGTCTGTAGTTGACGGTAAATTTTTGTTTAAATTAAAATTTTGTTTAGTTGTCCTTTAAAGATTGCCAAAGTAAAACATAAATCACAATACTTATAGGTATTAAGCAGTGACATTGTCAGGCTTTTTATTTACAAAAAATAAGCTTTTTGAATGTGGCAGGATTGTAATATAACAATTAATAACAAGTTTTTATGCGATACAGATTAAAGTGGCTTCATAAATTACTTTTTTAAAATATTAAAAACGCAAAACACACCTGATGCGAATTCTTTGCTCTTCATTTTCTATAAGCAGAGTTAACAGACCCTGTTGTATTTTCTTGTAATTTATTAAAAGAAGGTACACCGCCATCTTGTGCCGACTAAACTGACTTGAACGCACCTGACGTCGTAATTACGACTTGTCAACTCGTAAGTACGAACGTCCCAGGAGGACTTGAACGCAGCATAACAATGCTTTTGGGAAACGCACCCCGGATCGACCATGCCATGCAGTTACTGCTATGTGATTGGCTGATTAGATATTTGCATTAACGAGCAGTTGAACAGGAGTACCTAATAAACCAAGTTGCAGGAGAGTGTATGAAGCATGGATGTTCCTACAGTTCACTGGCTCTCAGTGAATGCATATTTAGAGTTGTACAGTACAGGTGCATCGACGTCTATGAAACTATTTCCGCTATGTTTATCTCAGAGCAGCTTTCATTATGCTACATCAAATGATTTGGAGTTGTGACCATGTTTAGGTTTAGCAAAACCTTACTGTTTAGAGCATCGGCTACTGTTCTGTGCAATATTAATACAACATACTGTGGGTATTATTTGATCGCTTTAATTGTGGAGTCTAAATTCCAAGTATTAAACATATCCTGGCACGACACCTCTGATCACAAATAAGGACAACAACGTTTCTTTATTTTCTCTTTACAAGAACCCTTTAAATAAGAAGCTCACATGTAGAAGACAACATAATGAGAGAGCAGAAAACCCTCACCCCCAACCATAGCTTTAAATAGCAGGAATCAGACTGCACCACAATGGCTGGTTAAATATGGATTAGGAAGAAAAAAAAGATTGCATGCACCATAACAATCTTTCTCATCTTCAAAGAAAATATCATTGCATTTCTGTATTTCTATACACTTTGCTTTCCGATCAAGGTTTCTCTATAGAGTCGTGATAAAGACTTCCTTTGCAACTGTGAAAATATCTAAAAAAATTATGCAACACGATCTGAAAACAGAAGTGTTGTGCGATGCCACTCTGAAACTGAGACAGTTCGTGAGGACAATCAGTCCACTCTCACAGTGCAGTGTTTAATGTCAACAGGGTTTTTGAAGAATAATTACTAGTATCAGCATCCTCAAGGAATTCTTACATATTCTGAATAAACCATTTTAATATTAGGAGGTCATATTTACTGTAACCCTTAACAAAAAATGATTAAGACATGTGTAGAGTGAATGGGATAGTGTGTCGAAATTGTTGTCTCATAATAATACGACCCAAAATCAAGTGAAGCGCCACCCTTTTAGGTCTGTTCGACAGCGTCAGGAACAACATAAGAGATACAAAGTGAGCTCAGGCCTAAGGTGCTCAACAGAGACTGCCCCATGATTCTGTTTTGCCCTGACCCTACATACGTACACCAGCCTCACTGGACTATGTGACCGACTCAATAGACAAATATATATGATCACTGTGACTGTACAACTGCAGCTATTGACTTGATGGTGGCATTTACAACAGCACTTGCAACAACGGGAACATCTCTGGCCACTCTCTGGATGGGTGGGATGTTAGGTCCTTCCAAAGTATCCAGAATACCTGAAACAGAAAGACACAATGACAAAGCCTGTAACACTGCACAACCTTGACTGTAAGCACAGTAGCCCAATAGCTTAGGCTTTTGATCATGACCATTCAACCCACAGTCATCTTTAGTTAGTCCCTGATTGATTTTTAGACATTTTTGAGGGGAATTTGGCACTAACATTAAAAGGTCATACCATAATGTTGCGACTGCAGTGGATACATTTGTACTGCCATCAGTGGACAGGATTGCCTTACATTATTTACATGAGAAGGCAACAAATACATGTAGAATAATGCATGTATAAGCCATAAGACTTCATACAAGACAGAAGACGTTCATCCACAGGTAAGAACAACATGTGCACCATGCTTCAGACAAATGAAAGTGTTCAAACTGGCCTCATTCTGATGGGCTAAAAATAAAAAGGACCACAAACACATACTGTAGGTGCTAAATTGTCTCTAAAATTAGATTTAAAAGGGAATTTCAATTACTAAAGATCACAATAATGCCTTGAAGACATTCTGATGCACCATCTCTTTCATTAAATGATTGCTCTAAAGGGATGGCACACTTACGTTAAATTGCTTATTGTATTAATTTGTTTGATAGTCCTTCAGTAAGCAATTCAGTGCTCCAGTGATGTATTTTAAACAGTCCAATTGTTACCTTCCTTAAGTATTTCGGATTTAACTGCATTTGCCATGAGAGTGATATAATTGATACTTACTTTATATATTACAAAGTAATATTGCAATTATTTTAATGCAACTTTTATTTTATTTGTAATTCTTCTTCATATGGTGACTCATGATAAGACTATTAATACATTCCTTTGCATCATCACTCAAAAAATGCTCATGGATGTCTCTGCATGCATGTATTAAAATGTTTAATAAAATGTTTTGTATAAAAATATGTTTAAGCAAATACTGCTGTATATTACTATGTATTGTTATATTAGTGCATATGAATGAACAATGTACAAATATGAATAAATGTTTCTTTGTGTTCATTTAACACTGAAAAGTGAGGAAATGTGTTTTTTATTTCTGATTATTTTTACTAGATTTTAACTGTGCTTTTAATGGTATTAACATGTGAAATTTATTAATTTTTTTAGCTCGCTCTCAGACTCATGTCTTACCTTCAACCATCTTATGGTAAGCAAAGTGCAGATAGAGCAGAAAAAGCATGTGAAGAGCAGCCAGGGTCCCACACAAGAAGAGGCGAGGAGTCTGACCAACAGTACGGGAAATCAGCACAGCCACCTGTGAGAAAGACAACAAATCAATGAAGATAAAATATGATATGGTGACTACACATCTTACAGTAATACATGCATAATCTTAGCCCTCGTTCATTTTTTCTTTACCATGCGTAGAGTAGAGAGTCCTCCAATCACCAGCCAGAGAATGTAGAAGAGCGAGTGGAAGTGGACATTGTAAGTGATGAAAAGGACCATACAGTGGCCAAAAAGACCATAACCCTGAAAACAAAGATAATATGAGACACCCACTCTAAACAAACCGTAAGCTAAACAGCCCTAACATGAAGTGGGCATGTCATATACTCTCTTCATGGGTAATGTGAGGTACTTACTAGCAAAGACAACATCTGCAGCATGGTAATCTGAGCGTTGCACAGGTAAGCAAGGAAATAGATGAAGGAAGACACTCCCAGCCAGTATCCAAAACAGGTTCCAATGGCAGTTCCCATCAGCGTACCCTCTCTCTGTTTCAACAACCAAACAAAAATATTTGATCATAAGGGTGAGCGATATAGCTATTTTTGATTGTGGACGATTAAAATGTCTCCATGATCTGCTTTTGAAGAAATATCGTAGTATCGTGCTGCAGCGCACATTCTATCAGTTGCAGTTCAGGCGCCTCCATCTCAATATACTGTTTGACGCGGCATACATTCACATCTAATGTTAACTCAGCTCTAGAGTTACACTCATAGGACACTGCACTTATTCGCAATCACAGAAGTACATTATTTGCATGTGCTTTAAAGCCTTGCCAGTTAAACGTTTCATTTGTGTGCTGTTCTGACATGCGCTTTTTACATACACCTGAAGCGCGCACACACTAAAAAGCCTGTCAAATAGTGCCTGATTACCGGACTAAGTTATCTTTCGCGTCTGATTGTTCTAATACTGTCAAAAACACACAAGGTTTACATATAAACACAGTTGTTATGTCTAAAGTGAAAGTAAACTGTTGAGAGAAAAACGGATGCATGCCTGTGTATTAGATGCGCGCAGGTCTTAAAGTGACAGCAGACTAATGGTACTAAACATGCTGCCGCTTGTCATTAAAGGGATAGTTCACCCCAAAAATTTAATTTCTGTCATTATTTACTCACTCTCATGTTGTCCCAAACCTGTATTAATTTCTTTCTTGTGCTGAACACAAAAGAAGATATTTGAAGAATGTGGGTAACCAAACAGTTGCTGGTCCCCATAGACTTTTGGCGCTTTTCCACTGCGTGGTACGACTCGGCTCGGTACGGCTCAGTACGGCACGGCACGGTTCGGCTCGGCACGGTTTGCGTTTCCACTGCAGTTCAGTACCGCTTTAGAGTGACAGAAGAAAGAAATTCATTCAGGTTTAAAAAAACTTTATAGAGAATAAATCATAACAGAATTTTCATTTTTGGCTGAACTATCCCTTTAAAGTTAATAAAACAACAACAAAACACAAAGAGAAAAATCATGCACTGCTCTTGACTGAAGAACTTTAGTACAGTTGCTTTAATAAGAATTAATGTATAATTTATACAGTGAAGTGTATATAGTGTTTTATTTTTATATTTGTTCATTCAATTTCTTGAAAGCTACTGCTAAATGTACAGTACTTGAGAAATATTTGTATATTATGTGTATTTGTAATGTGTCTTTGCTCTTATTTTATTTTAAAACAGGGAAATTAGTTTGGCTGTACTGCTCAGACAACCAAAATGACAAAGAATCGTGATTTTCCTGAAACCCCCCCCAAAAAAAACATTGTGATATGATATTTTGCCATATCACCCACCCATATTTGATTAAAAAATACATAAAAAATCACAATGTGAAATTTTGACAAAGACAAACGTGTGGAAAGTTGCTTACAATGACGGTTCCTGATGTCTTCATGCCATGGAGCAGAATAGCCACCATTGTGAACACCAGCATCATTGGTCCATACAGCTCTCCAGCAACTTTCTGGGTTTAAAAGATAAAAAAAAAAAAAGAACTAATGAAGAAAAAGTACTCATAACTGCTGTTACAAGTCTGCACTGGCCAGTTTAGCTTTTCAAAAAGCTCAAAACTACATAAAATGTGCGGTGACAATGAGGAAAAGACATGCAGATATGCAAAATACAAGTAAAGAGAATAAAATTAAATAAACCTGTAAAGCTTGCAATAGAAAATAATAGAATATATTTGTTTACACACTAAAACCCCTAATAATTAGTAAGATGATAAAACTATTTAAATGCTTAGTTTTATGATCAAAGCTCTTTAGTTTTAATTGTGGGGGGGCAAAACATATAATGCAACGCAATACAATGACGACTGATAAATGAACAAATAAACATTCCTCAAAAGCCTGATGATCATATTTGATACTCACATTTTAACACGATTTTTCTAAAAAAAATAATGTATAGATAATCAAGTTGCTTCAGTCCAGTAAGTGTTCATCTTGTAATAAAACTTTTCCTTTAAAAATCTGTAAAAATCTAACAGCAAAAAGACATGTGTACCATAACTTTTTTACAACTATACTAAAAGACCTTTTACTTACTAAAAGTATAAATTCACAGTCAGTTAACAGAAGAAATGTAGTCGATTATGTACAACAAGTTTTAACTATGTTGATCATTTAGAGGCCTTAGAAATTTGTGTTTCAAATATGATACAGTGGGCTTTATAGGGATAATAATATTAATCTCTCTCGCTCAAGGATGCCACACCCCTGCTCTTCCAATACAATTAAACTTGCTTTCTGTTGTGTATTGCTTACAGCTAAAATGATCAAGTGTCTTACCTGTGGAAAGTTGATCATTCGGACTGGGATCAAGGATTCGATCAACCTGTGGATCAAGCAGTTGGTTAACTGAACCAGAATCAGTGATGCTGCAGCAAAAGACATCGCAAAACCGCTGTTAGAAAGCCTGACATGCATCTTACCGGTTTCTGACTTGATTAGGCTCCACATCAAAGTACGGCCGGAGGATGTCAATATTGGCGTAGAGATTAAATGCTTTTGAGGCCTGTTGCTTTCCTGCCTGCCATACCTGTGTGGATACAAGATATATTAGTACTCTCATCTACACAAAGCCAAACAGAACTATTTAAAGGAAAGTTAGACACTTTCCAAAGTGAAAATTGTGTAATATAGATTTCATATCTGCTGTATGGAAAATGTGGTTGATACCTCATTTCATGCTCATGTGAATCATCAAGTGACTGAAACAAGTTCCTAGCCCTCACCTAGACTTGTGCCGGTATTTGGTAATGCGATATATCACGGTAATGAATATGCACGATATTGTTATCGTGGGCACTTCTAAATACCGTGAATAATTATATATTACAAATTATTCCGAATTTTGAATGCATTTTAAAAATACTTTTCCCATCAACTGGTCAAAATGCACAACACCGCTGTATGCTGCGTGAAAGATGCGTGCGCACTCTGATGTAAACAATCGAGGACCAGAAGCACATGGCGGAACATGTGAGAGACGCTCTGGATGAATAGCTGCTGCCTCGGCTGTCACCTCCTCCTCCTCCTTCATACGCTGATGCATCTCCCCCATATCCTCAAAGCTGGAACCAGAGGTGTCATCCATATTCTCCATGTCGATCACTGCCGAGCCACTGCCCTGGGGTCAGTCACATTAAAGAACCAACGCTGTGTTAAAAAGTCTCACTCTAATTTTGTGAAAAACTCATGAAGCCAACTACACATTTGTAATACGGTAGAGAATGTGATGATGTAGCATACAGGATATGTTTATTTAGCGCACACTTTACTAAAGACCATGATATATTGTGGATGTTAAACTGCAATAATGTTCTTTTAAACATTGTATAATGGTAATACCGTGGTTATTTGTATATATGCCAGTCTAACAGCATGTTTCTGAGCTTTTTTTTTTGTTCAATCATTTGCCTCCTCCACTTATACTAGCCTATATGTACAAAATTGTTTACCACAATAGCTATATCACATCGTTGAGTCGTTAGCTTATTATAATTCATGCAAAATAGAGGAATATGCAAATTGTGAATGAATATAGAGTGAAATATACATAGTACCACCACAACAATTTCAAGCGTTCGAGGTCAGACTAAGCCAAGCGCACTAAGCTTGATTAAGAGAGAAAAAACATGCGTGTATTTCAGAAGTTATGTCACTGTAATAATGATGAGCTGAGGTGAATTAACGTTACCTGGATAATGTTGTTGTCTTCAAAACTACCCCATGGCTCCGTATTCGTGTTTGTGCTTCCTTGTGATGCCGACATTGTTTTGCACAAACAGGTTCAAGAATATAACAATAAAGGTTAGCGGCTAGAATGTCAAGATGTTACTGTCTATCGTTTGATTCTGGTGCTCATTGTAGTTTCGCAATAAAATGGTTTGTGTGAATTGTTTTGCCAGCTGTACGGAGCTACGCTAAAATATTGACGTGATGACGACGAAACGTCTGACGCTACTTCCGCCAATAAAAGCGCAGATCAAAACTTCCGCATTTGATCAGTCTTGGAACATTCTTCTAATATTTTCATGTTAACTCGTATTTAACCACATAGATATTAATTACCTACAAAACATTGTCGTTTTAAAGTGTCAACATCGGGTAAGTATACTATGTCATGTCAAAATAAAAGTCATGTGACGTGTTCTCGTGTGTGGTGTTTTGTGATATATCTTTTTTCTCATTTTATTTGAAATTGTGAAATAACAAATTTCTTATTTGCTTACCTTTCTGAATTAAATAAAAAAAATAAATAAATAAATAAAATGGACTGGGTAGAGGATTGCATAATTATTTCGAACAAACAGATTTGATTAACCAAATGTTCGTGTTCAGCATTTAAAACCTCCATCCACACATGCATCGTTAAAAACTCTTCTTGCTCAAGGCACGTATATTAATTAAAATATCTGAAATCGTTGCTTTTAGATTTTTATGTATTTTTATTTATTTATTTACAAATTGTTTCCACATGCCACTAGATGGTAGCATTACATTTGAGAACAAAAATTGAGAACGCAATAAAGGGGCGGTAATGCACCAATAAGATGGATGCCAACAGCCCTTAAAAAAAAAGAAGAAGAAGAAGTATCGCGAGATGATGGTCTCACGTGATTCTCCAAAGCGCCTTTGACATTAGCCTCACGACACGAGCGGCGTAGCGCATGAGGGGATGCGGCACTGCGTTCTCGCAGAAGCCTTTATTATATTAACATCACCTTCGCTTCCAAGGTCAACAGGTAGTCCAGGTATGTACACATCGAGACTCCACAATGACATGTTTGTTTTGAGAAATGATTTGACTTTTAGCTAATGCGGCGTCGGAATGTTAATCTGGGTTAGTGGAGGTTGAGTGCATGCGAGCTCGCTATATTTGTAACCAGTCAGACCTTCTTCTGTATTGTTACGGTGATATGTTTAAAATCTCGATAAATGTATACTTATGAGAATCGATTTAATGACAAGTTTAAAAGTATATATTTTTATGAATTGATATCAGTTCACTGTGTCCTCGGCAATGTGACACATAAAAAGGGGGCTACAGACGGGCGACCTGTAGAATATATTTTCAATGTCCACTTCAGATATTGAGGTTTTTTTAAAGGGGTCATATGATGCTGCTAAAAAGAACATTATTTTGTGTATTTGGTGTAATGAAATGTGTTTATGCGGTTTAAAGTTAAAAAAACACATTATTTTCCACATACTGTACATTATTGTTTCTCCTCTATGCCCCGCCTTTTTGAAACGCGTCGATTTTTACAAAACTAATCGGTCTGAAAAGCGAGGTGTGCAACTTTTCCAGGAATCTTAAGAATTTTGCCGTTGAGACACTGTAAGGCCACAGCTGAAGTTGTTTGATATGGGTTTTATACTACCAGTAAAAAGTTTGTACTGAATGTTTTCCACACCAGATTATAATAACTGCTGTGAATCACTAGAACTATGGAAAAACAGTGTTTGAATGGATGCATGCCATGTTTTATAGTATGAGGTGCTCTGTACAGTATTAAAGGAGTTCACATAAATGCTGGACGCATAACGTTTGTATTTCCCTGTCTAACTTGTAAATAAAAAAAAAAGAAAATGTAATCAAAATAATATTTATTTGAAGAAATTAATAAAATATTTATATTTAGCTGCAAAAATATTTGCATATATTTCAGTTGGGGGTTCGGTGTCTTGCTCAAGGGCATAATCATAATACTAATCATAAGCATAATCCTTTGGAGCAAAAGGTTTTTAAGATTATGAGAATCAGTTTTGATTGGTACTCTGTACAATGCGATTTAATTATAGCAAATTAAACTTGCACAAAATAATGGATATTAAGTGAAAGAAAGGTTTACACAGTTTTTACTAAAATTCACATAACTGGATGATAATTGGCCAGCAGGTTAAAAACTATCAGACCAATTATCACAGTTTCCAAATAAATCAAGGTTTTTTTAAAGTTTTTTTTTTTTTTTTGTTGCTAATAACTAATTGTTACAATTTTTGCCACCATAAACGGTTTTAAAATGTAAACAAATTGAAGACTAAAAACTGAAATGCAGTTATGCCATATTTAAAATGTAATTTACTTACCCTCGTTCTAAACCATTATGATTTTTTTTTCTTCTGTGGAGCATGATAGATTTTTAAAATTATATTATAAGTAGTAGTAGTAGTAGTATTTGGAACATCAATGGAAACCCAAAACTGTTTGGTTAGCAACATTTCAAATGATGATCATGTCTGAGTGAACAATGCTTTGAACCAGTCATTTGCGAATAGAGAACGAAGTGATTGATTTTAGCTGGTGTGTTTTGTTTGTCCCGCAGCATGTCACTCATGGGGCAGAGAGAAAAGGCTGCCCTCAGGCAGTGCATTCAGGCCCGGGCCCAGCTGGAGGAGGCCCTCGCTGGGGTCATCAAAGCTGAAGTTCAGCTTAGGAGCAACTCCAGAGAGGTGAGATACGGCAACGTTTTTGTGCTGTGCGTTTTCAGTGCCATTAAGTAAAGATATGAAGTACTGGTCTATTTTTAATCTTTTATTTATATACTTAACTCTTAAATCATGCTTGTGTTATTAACAGTTTAGTGTCTCAGTTATAAACATTATTTATCTTTTCTAGTAGGTGTGAACAGTGAACACTGACTTCATTAAACATTGTGGCTTCATAATGTGCTTTGTTCATTTAGTGCACAATGAGATGTTATTGTCTTGTTTGTGTTATAAGCATGAAAACATTCATGCATATGACATAATTTGTCACATAATTTGTCAATAATTACTATTTAGATGCAGGTACAGTAGTCTAAAAGGAGTAGGGCTTACTAGACCACAGCTAAACAAGTTCAGAAGTATTAACAATTGAGAAATTGTTTAAGAAATAGTTAGTAGACAAGTATATAGGATTTACACTCATTCACTTAAGCTCTGTTGAAAACCTCAATGGGTTTCCCCACAATCTCTCAAAACTGAATAAGGACCCTGTTTCTATTATTGTAGACCTCAGATCGTTGCAGGCTGTCCTTCCGCGGAGGTGGTGACTTCCTAGGAGGTGGTGACTTCTTAATTCACCACAGCAGGAGTTTTAAAAGCTGCTTGGCATCTGAGTGCTTTCAAATCAAAGGCAGACGTGACAGGACTCGCACCTGCTAGCATTCACGCGTATGTGCCTCTGTCTGCTTACTCACAGGTGAAGTCTCAGCTGCACAGCTGTATCAGTAGACATCTGGAGACCCTCCGCTCTCGTGAGGTCTGGCTGCTGGAGCAGATTGATCTGGTGGAGCAGCTCAAAGGAGAAACTTTACATCAGCAGCTACAGCAGCTTCATTTGGTGAGTTTTAAGGAATTTTACTGAGCATTATTACATTTTCAGTTTGGACAAGAAGTGATAATTTGTACACACAGCCATCTGTCAGTCAGGAAAATTGAGCTGTTATTGCTGAGAGAGTATAGTTTTTTTTTTTTTTTTTTCCAAAGTCAAGACTAAAATAAAACAGTACAGGTACTTTTAGATCTGTATTACAAAGCAACAATTCTGAGAAATGTAATCTAAATATTGACTCTGAAAACTGAAACTCCAATTTAAAGGAGAAGCTGTTCTGCTTTAGTTAAGTTACTGTAAGGCTGAAATGATTGTTCTCTCATGGTTTTTTATAGCTCAAAGGCCAGTTTGACATCCTCATTCATCAGCTGGAGTACTCTAGTAGTAACAATCTTGCCACCCAGCTCACCAACTGCCTGGAAAAGTAAGAACCAGATCGACCTTTCTAGAATGATTTTGTTTTGTATATCTGCTTCAGCATGTTAAATGACTGTTTACACGTCAAGATAGTCAGCAGAGGTAATGTAGTGGTTTAAATCTCTCTGTGAATCTCCAAGCAATCTAAAATAATTTTCAACCACAAACTGTCTATGTAGATGTTGGAAATGTCTTGGATGATAATGGGTTTAAAACTCGTCTTTTGTCATTCCAGGCTTTCTTCTCTCAATCTGACTCCGGAAGAAACCCCAGAGATGAGTTTCCAAGCAGATGCACGCAGCTTGCGCCAGGCTATCACATCCTTTGGGACCATTTCCACCCAGGTTTGTGGAATTGCAGACTTGGACACCAAGGCTTGTGGTTAATGTAGATTGATAGCTGTAAAAAGAAATCCAGTAAAAATGCTAGTTTTTATAGTATGGTAACTGCCATTTAGGGCTAAAACAGTCCTAATATTTTTAGTCTTTTGACAATATATCTCAATGTTTGATCTAAAATGGCTTCAATTTGAATGATTTTTGTCTAAATTTTGACCAAACATTCACCGTAGCCAAGTAGATTCAAATAGTTTAATGCAAGAACTATAATACAGCAATAATCATTGAAAAAATAATCAAAGCATGTTTTCAAAACTGTTTTCATTAGATGAAAGCATGATGTTTAATCGCTTTTATTCATATGCACCAGTAAAAACAATACATGGTAATAAACAGAAGTGTTTATCCATACATTGAATTATTTTAATATACTGACACTGTTTACATACTTCTGATGTACTCCATGTGCTTGCATTACTTCCGACAACAGTACAAATGAATTCTGAACTTTCTTGCTCCTGTGTTCAGTGCAAACAACCTAAAGCAGTTTAGGCAATGGATGTGTCTGATGTAGACATGTTGTGAGACTTAAGTGAACATTTTCTGACAGAACATATTGTCCAGTTATTAACATTTGATTGAAATGTCCACTGACTTTTGACAGGATCACAGTGTAGCTGGGGAGAATAGAGTGTGTCAAAATACTATGTCCTCATACCATTGCTATAAATAGACCTGTGCACTCTTACACAAAGCACCCGCATTCATAACTCTTCTCTGCTGCTGCAGATGGAGACCTCATACTCTTCTGAGAGACCGAGGCTTCTCCAGGACTGCCCAGTTTCTTGCAAGAGACAGGTTTGTTTTTGATGTTACACTTGGCCTATGTAGCTTCCTGCTTGTTCATTTGCATCCATTGTAAAATACCTATCTTGTTTACATAGAAAGTAGCTCCTGAATGGGCCACACCTCTGGCTGAGTGGCTTCTAGGGAACCGTTCAGTAAGCAGTGCTCCAACAGGACACCACTTCAGCACAAACTCCCAGGACTGGCTGCTTGTTTCCAAGGAATCTCAGGTAAACTGTAAAATAATTTTATTTTTCTCGTGTAACCATTGTCGTCACAGACACATTGAGCGTAGCTGGTACAGGTCTCGTTGGCTTTGCAGGTGGTCACAATATAAGAACAGATATGTGACCCACTTGTTAAGAACCACTGTGTTATTCACGTGACTGTAGCCAAAGCGCTACTGCTGTCAAATTGTCTTTAGGAAATGGCCCATTTTTTTTTATTTCCACTTTACAGGAAGAGCGACAGTTACCTGCCTTTGACTTCCAAAAAGCTTGGGGCCAGCTTCAAGACCTGGAGTCGTGGCTTCTGAAGGAGAAATTGCCAGTTCGTGAACGAACCTGTAGCGGAAGCTCAACCTTCTCGATTGAGATGATCGAGGAAAGCGACTTAAATCTGGATGAGGTGGAAGTGGAAGACCAGCAGGAAAAAGGGGACGACACTGTTGAGGAAGAAGAACTCAGCAAGTGGCTCTTCAGCCCAAGCCTGTTCAAGCAAGATAAGACCAGCCCGGTGTCAGATGCTGACCGCTTCAAGCAGATCATCAAACCCTTTTTCGAGAGCTTCTCCTCCAGCGATTGGCTACTAAAGTCCGACTGCAGCTCTTGCTGTGCCACACGCAGCGCTGCCATGGAAATCGAGACCCTAGGAAAGCTCAAGTGCCTAAAGACTCCACCTTCATCCGCTGCCAGCACTCCAATCACCAGTCCAGAAACCATCGAAATGTGGCTTCACAAGACCATCCCTATCGAGACCACCTGCAAAGCCAACGAGACCTGTACCAGCTACGCTCAATGTGTCTGTGACGACAATTGTGGAAAAGAGGCCCTTAGTGCTTGGCTCCTCAAGAAAGAGGATCGAGATAAGAATGGTGTTCCCGTCAATAAGAATGCCCCAAACAAAGCCTCCAGCCAGCAGCAGAAGGTTCAAGCCATCCTAGAGACGTGGCTGCACCCGAGCAACAGTGCCAAGTCCCCTGCCCTGTCGTCCCTCTCTGCCTGGGTGACCCCGTACATCAAAACCTCAGACTCTGAGAGCTCCACACAGGAGCCTTTGCAGAACTGGCTTTTGCCAGCGATGAAGCACATAAGCACAACCACTGAGACGCCAAATGAGCCAAAGAGTGAGAACCATGAAGAGCGAGACAGCAAGAACATCGAGGAGGACAAATGGCTTCTACGCAAGCGGGTGAGCGCACAGGTGAGACTGATATCTGTTGCTGTCCAGCACAATATAAATATATTAATTGTCATCAATTACTCACATTCATGTCATTCCAAACCAATATGACTTTCATTCATCTTCAAAATACAAATAAAGAATTTTAATCAAAGCTTAATGAAGCACATAAGCACAACCACTGAGACGCCAAATGAGCCAAAGAGTGAGAACCATAAAGAGCGAGACAGCAAGAACATCGAGGAGGACAAATGGCTTCTACGCAAGCGGGCGAGCGCACAGGTGAGACTGATATCTGTTGCTGTCCAGCACAATATAAATATATTAATTGTCATCAATTACTCACATTCATGTCATTCCAAACCAATATGACTTTCATTCATCTTCAAAATACAAATAAAGAATTTTAATCAAAGCTTCTGAAGTGACACAATGGCTTTATATAATCACCTAATTCAGGATTTTATTCACGTATAAACATTGATCAACACATATATTTGGGGCCCATCAAATATGGTAAACGCAAGCTCAACCACACTTGCTTGACACGACACGATGATTGGATTACTTTTAAAATGCCTTTATGAACTTTTTTTGAAGAGTCAAAGTTTTGGTTGCTCGGACTTTCAATGGAGGAACAGAAATCTCAGGTTTCATTAAAAATATCATCTTTTGTGTTTCATTGAATATGATTTCACTTTTTGAACTTTAGTTAGTGTGTATTGTGTTGCTGTTAGAGCATAAACAACATCTGCAAAGTTACAACGCTCCGAGTTCAATGCAAAGGGAGATCTTTTCTTTTAAAGGGGTCATATGATGCTATTTTAAAGATCATTATTTGGTGTAACAGAATGTTGACATGCTTTAATGTTCAAAAAACACATTGCTGGTCGGGACCACAACGAGCTTCTTCCTGGGTTTGTGACATCACTATCCCCGATGTTTACATAAACCCCGCCGCTGGGATCACACAACTACCCGTAATGGTAAGGGGGCGTGATGTTTCTGGACAATGTGCACTAGGCGGTTAGCGAATCACAAACACATTGAGCCCGCTAACCAATCAGAGCCCATTGTGTATTTCAGAGGGAGGGGCTTCATAGAACCAGGATCTCAACGGACCGTTTTGACGAGAAAGGAAACAGGTGTAGAATAAGGGTAAAATATGTGAAAATAATGCGTTTTTTTTAAAACGAAGCATGAACACGTTTCACTGCACCCCATAAATACAATCAAGCTTTCGAAAAAAGCTGATCAACCACCCCTTTTAATAATAAATGAAAGTCTTATGGGTTTGGAACAACATGAATTGATGACAATTTTCATTTTTGAGTGAACTATCCCTTTTACGTCCATAGTATTAGGGTTTGAGAATGTCATTTTTAAAATTTGGTGCATTTCATTTACATAATTTTTTTCAAATACATTATTCATATTCATAAATATTATATATACATACACCTCATAGCATGTTTTCCTGTGGTTTGTCCAGGAAAGGCTAGGCCTACCCACAGTATGTGACCTGTTTTCCTGTATGAAGCTCAGTGGGGACAAAGAACAGTGGCTACATCAAACAGCTACACAGGTGAGAAACTAACATAAATATGAGCATTTTCAAAAGTAGAGCTGTTTTTTTTTTTCTATTCAGAGAAAGTAAAACCATTTTCTCTTCTGTTTTTCAGATATGAATGCAACATCCATTGGCTTTTGGAGATTGACTCCAGTGCTATTTAATCACTTATTATTGCACAATATTTTTCTTCAGTGCTCTTTAGGGATTCATTCTCTCTATCTCATATCTTCTGGAGATTGAAAGGGTGATCTGGACTAAAGGTCCTGTCCAGGAGGCAAGGCTTTTGGTACACCATCACTTGAGGACGGATTAGTCATTTTGCCCTTTTATTGGCTTAACACAGTTAAATTCCAGTAATGTGGAGGAGACCAATGTGTTTATATTAGAATTCACTAATGTGATTTAGAAATCACGAGGAAATGGACCAGATTGGTGCATTAAAAAAAACAAATACTTTTTCCCCCTATGGAGGCGTAGTGGGGGAGGGGATTTGAAAAGAACAAACAAAAAATAAATCTATATTTAAATCACGCACAATTACAGCTTTTACTATTCACGTTTCAGAACTCAGTCCTGCTCATATAGAGGAAGTCATGCCTTAAAGCAGAGAATGATTTCCTCCAATTCTTTGAATATATATTTATATAGAATTTTACTATTTTCTCAAGTATAGAATGAGCTTCCCTTGCAGTTTATTTTACTTTATTTCAATTATTAAATTCTATACTTTAGTAGCACATAAAACTCATATACCGGCGAAACAGCATAACTTGTTATTGAAACCTCGAGAAGTCTGAGAACTCGTGCCTGACATCGAATGTGTTGCAATGCTTGCTGTCAGTCCACCTCCTTGTACGTGTGGAAAACAATCTTATCATAGTTTGCCATTTCTGCGGTGTCATGGGCTACAGCAGCCGACGTTTGTGTGGTCTTTATGTTAGGCAACAACTTGTGGTAAATGTTTAGAATAGAATCAATATAGTTCTTTTTAAATTGAATTGCTCATATAATAACCACTGGTATCGCTTGATGCCTCTGCTGTGAACCACCGTGTCAACATAAAAGACACTTGCAGAGCAAAGGCTACATGTGAAACTGGTTCAAAAATTAAACCGCTTCTTTTAGATAGAATAAATAAGTTCATCATAATGTCATCTCATGTTCCAGTCTTTCGCTTAGTAATGGACTTTTTTTCTGTCAGCATGTGCCAGTGTTGGACTGCAGTATTGCACATGTACACATATGTAGGTTAAGTGATCTCTAATGCTTTGATCCTTGTCAACTGAATAAATAAAAGTACATAAATGTGTTTCCTGTCATAAAGTGACTGATTTCAAGTTTCTGTTTCCTAACACACAGTAAACGTTAATGCTCACAGAAAGAGGAACCTAAACAGAAAAGAAAATGCCATGGAGTCATATAAACCTCATTTCAACAACATCTCAACATTATAGTGAACACTGGTGTCCATTAACAGAGTGCTGATGGAATGACAAGGCAATGTATCCAAGCATCATTTCCTACATTCATAATTACCAAATATTACAGCAAAGATATTTGAGTAAGCACTCATTATCTGTTTCTAGTGCAAAGTTTTGTTCTGTTCCAACACATGCTTTTAAACTCACAGTTGGTTATATTATAGACTGCATGATTGCTGAATGTATTACAAACATTGAAAACAAGCAACGACTGGCTGCATAGGTTATATACACACACACCTGATAATCTATCAGTTACATTAATGGACAGTTAAGTTTAACCTTTATCCAAAATAAGTTTTAATAAATAGTTTCAAATATTACTCATATTTAATCTTAATATATTTTTAGGAGACCGTCATGAATCTGAAGCCTCAAAGAGCAGTTCCTTGACATTCACATCTTAGCTTTAAAGTTAGTGGACATTGAATTTAGAAAGAAACAAAAATTGACTAATTTTTTTGTACTCATTTGTTGAGTATCTTTGACAGAAGCTTCAGTAGCAGGTAGGAGAGCCTCCCTTCAGATGGTCCCAGTTATTGTAGAGAGCATAGAGCCCTGAAAGTGTCAGCCCAAGCAACCCGCCCCGCGCTGCGGAACAATATTTTTTTGTGCGATGGAAAGATTCCATGGATGTTAAAGGTTCTTCATGGAACCACTAATGCCAAAACCTAACCTTTATTTTTAAGAACGATACCGTACAGATGGAGCTCTTGTTTAAATTCACAAGGCTCAAGACAAAATGATACAAAGACTCATTTATTCCACCCCAGGCATAATTATCATAATCAAACTAAAACTAGAATGATATTTTTGATCCAGAACCAGTCAGATCTAGTCCCTGACCTCCAGCGAATGTCTCACAGACGTCAGTGGTGTAAAACAGATAGAGAAGAGCTTAACTTCACCCTGACCCGGAACATGGAGAAGAGCGATAGAGCTTTGAGAAGTGTGAGGATTCCACACCCACCATGAGTTAAGGCTTGATAACTGCTGAATGAACTGGTGAATGTGAGTCAATGAGAGCCCACCCATCACACACAGAGCCCACTGGAACGCTTCAAAACAACATGCGGTCTCTTAAAAAAAAAAAAAAGGACTCTTGCTTGAAGACGTTGCCACACATCTACATTGCCGTTTTCTGTTCATATTAAACAGAAATGCCCCAAATATGCAGAACAAAACAACAGACATATGCCAGTAAAAAATGCTGTAAGTGCTTTTACAGCACCATTAAGATCAATGCACATTCCCTGTGAGCTTGTTTGAATACAGCCTGTGTGACACATGACTATGAAATGTGAGATAACTAAAGTTATGAGTGATCTCGTGACGGCCTGAATGGCTTGGGACACACTGAACACAAACTGCATTCATGGCACACTAAATCCTGCCAAACGCTTTTCAGCAGAGCAGGCAATGCGCTGAATCGTCTCAATGTCCAGGAACTTCCCTTCTAAGAACTCTGCAGCAAAGAATGATGGGGAAATATTTTGTGGCGTCCTAGTGGAGGAGATTTCCCCTAATATCTGGACAACAGCTCTTCTCTACTAAATGCATTCATTCCACAGCTACAGGAAAACACCTGCAGGGTAATTCTGTAAGGTACTTCCTTGCAGGAACAATGACATTTTGTGTTTATAACCACCTAATGGCCTTCGATGAGCTAAATTAAAGTTTACAACAGTCAGGTTACGGAAGCACAAATCGCATTCCTTTTCTAGAAATGAATTTTTAACGATTCTTTTGAAACAGGCATATCATGAGTTCCAAGGTTATAAATCAATGATATACGCATCAGTTGAAGCCATGTCTATCTACACTTCACATTCTTCCAAGGCTCAAAAATGCAGTAAAAACAGTAATATTGTGAAATAAATATGATTACAATTACAATACTGTTTTCTATTTTAATGTATTTGAAAATATAATGTATTCCTGTGATGTAAATCTGAGTTTTCAGCATCATTACTCCAGTCTTCAGTGTCACATGATCCTTCAGAAATCATTCTAATAAGCTGTTGTGCTGTGAAATGTGTTTATGTAAACAGTGATTGATCAGTTTCATAAATCCTTGCTGAATAAAAGTATGAATTTCTTTCAAAAACTTTTGAATGGTAATATATTTGTATCTAGATACATATTTTGCAAAACATTTTACATTTATTGTTTTTATACTTGTAAAATCATATTTTATAACCTATAAATAATGTTTTATATTTTTACCATCTTCTCTCACTGCGTCATGGAACTGTAGTTCATTTTCTCAACAACACTGAAGAACATGGCCTTTGACTTTTTTTTCCTGGATTTTCATAATACTTTTTTTGCTCCAAATCAAAGTTTAAAATGTTGCAATTGATGTGGGAGCTGATTAGTTAGATCGTAGAAGATATTAAAAAAAATGCCTATGGAGAAAATGACATTGTCATTGAAAAAGTGGATGCTCACAGTTGTACTATAATGTTGTATATCTAAATGTTTTTAAGAGTCTAAATACTTTGGGGACATGAAAATATATACACAAAATTCCATGACTACTCAAACTCTAAAGTGACTACATATTAGTTAACCATGTGTTAAGCATTATATAACATCTGTTAATTTTATTAACAAGAATTTGATAAAAGTTAAAGAATGTTTTCTGTAAAAGATCTTGGCGTATAATGGTTTTCAAAGCAATTTCCCTTTTCTCCTCAAATAAGTCTACTACAGAAAAGGAAGTACACATCTTCCCCTTCAGTCTGCTGACAAAATGTGTTTTTTTTTTCTGCATCTTAAAGATAACACAATGTTCTAAACATATTATACATGATCTACCTGGAGATTTGTAGAGGACACCAGTCAGAGTTCCTGCAGCAATGGTGTTGAGGTCGTCCTCTGCCCCTCTGGCTTTCTCAAAGATCACCCCAAATGCACTGTACAGCAGAGCTAAACACATGCACCACCAACATAAATATATTCAACACAGAGATTGGTTGTCTGAATCAATCAATGACTTCAAAATAAAAAATACTGAGACTCAAACTAAATAAAAATACCCTTCTGTTTCAAATGAGCATTGACCCGACTACAAAGATGGACAAGATTCATTTTGAGGGGGACGGAGGCTGAAATTGGGCCACTCGCCTATTGAATTCAAAGTGTTTGCTCATGTGGCACCTTGGCGGGTCACCATATTCAGGATCCTGAATGGGAGAGAAGAATGGAGATTAAGAGTTTAAAACAAAGTCACAATTGGCCTAAATCACTAATGACTTTGGTGCTAAAACAACATGCAATATACAGAAATTGGGATGTTTTATGCCAACAACACAATTAAAATACAGAAGTAGGTCTTGGGAAACGGTCCCATGGGCTCCATAATATCACATTAGTCTATTAACAAAAAGGCTGTTCTTTGTGCAAATAAACACATGCATATTTTTGCTTCATTACACATGAATCAGGCACCTGGACTTCCAAGGTTGACTCATTCAATAACAACTTCCTAGACCTGTGCCAGTCTTTGAGGAAATACTGTACATTATGGCAGGTAATCATAACACATTTTCACCTAAACATCCTATAATTCTGCTGACAGTGGTGTTGTCTTTCACGTAACTGCAGTAAAGCGACAGACTTTGGCCCACTGTACACGTGAACATGCTTTAATGCAGCCTTGACCACACTTTTGGTCACACAGGGGACATTCCTGCAGTCAGCATGCCATGCCAATTGCACGCTCCCTCAAAACTTGCGACATCTGTGGCATTGTGCTGTGTGATAAAACTGCACATTTTAGAGTGGCCTTTTATTGTAGCCAGCCTAAGGCACACCTGTGCAATAATCATGCTGTCTAATCAGCATCTTGATATGCCACACCTGTGAGGTGGATGGATTATCTCGGCAAAGGAGAAGTGCTCACTAACACAGATTTAGACAGATTTGTGAACAATATTTGAGAGAAATAGGTCTTTTGATATGTAAAAAGAAAAAGTCTTAGATCTTTGAGTTCAGCTCATGAAAAATGGGGCAAAAACAAAAGTGTTGCGTTTATAAATTTGTTCAGTGTTTGTCCTCATTTGTAAGTCGCTTTGGATAAAAGCGTCTGCTAAATGACTAAATAAATAAAATAAATAAATACACAGATGTATTTGAGCTATTGATTTAAAACAGCTGTCACAACATATCTTTATCAATAACTTTAAAAAACAAAACAAAAAAATGAAATGTAAAATGTACAAAATAAAGAGTTTTTGATAGAAAATGTCAATGTCTAGCAGTGTATCACTAGGTCTATATGTTTGCCTTTAGTCATATGAAAGATAAAAACTTTTAAATAATCAAGTTGAATCATGCTGAAAGTTGTTGCTCAAATCATTTCTTCAGGTCAGTAACGGCTGCAAAAACACAACCATTGATAGAAGAGGAACCAAGTGTTGTAATATCAGGATCAAATTTGTGATTCAGTTCAAGTCTTGAAATCAGCTTACAGTTTTTTTTAGCTAAAGAATGTTTAGTTAGTATATTTAGTGGCCACACTGTTGTTCTGTTGGTTGGTTGTACTTAAATATATTGCCTTGTCAGATATAATATTCAACAGGCATTATAATAAATACAAACATTTCAAAATTGAGACAAAAATGTTACTTTTTTGTCAGAACTTTGACTTAATTTCACAATTTTGACTTTGCATCTCACGATTTTGACTTGTGTTTCATAGTTCTGACCTTTAATCTCACAATTTTGACTTTTTATCTCATAATTTTGACCTTTCACCTCATAATTATGACTTTAAAATGACATTTTTTAAAATCACGTTTGAATATACAACTCGATTCTTTAAATGTGCTTTTGATAAACAATTGTAAAAGTTTTTCTGGGTCCATCGTACAAAATAAAACATTTGAAGTTTGCCCTGAAATCGTTGTCTCATGACAATACAAATTGGGCAGATCAAAAACATTTGTTTTATAGATATGTTAGTGCTGCAATATTGATTTTTGGCCTGTTGTATGCACAACTTGGTCATGCCTGGATTTAAAACGGTACACCGCAGGATTTGTTTCAAATAGTTTGTTGTTTTGACATTCTCCATTTCTCTGATATATACTGGCTGATTAAGGGCTTGAGGTCCAAATGTGGAATTTGGCATTCACTGATTCTTTACGCAAGAGCTTTTTTTTTTGGTTTCTGTTTTCTTCTCCATTTTGTGACGTCACAACCAGTATACATCCCCCCCACTGTCCGCACCACAATTTCAATTCATAGGAAAAATGCACATGACTCTGGTTATAGTGGAATGTGGCGCATCACCACAAACCAAACATGTGACGGAAGTGCTCAGTGTTATCTGCCTATTCATGAATTGTGCTCCACTGACATCACGGAATAACCCTATTGTGTGTTACCTGACCCCACCTTTACCAGGAAATTCATATCTGCTGTTTCTGTTCCTATAAAAGGCATAGTGCACACTGTAGTGAACACTGCCCTCTGCTGGTTAAAGGCTTATGAGAGCATGCAAGGTGTAGAAGGATGTGAAAGAAAGAAGCAACACAAACCATCAATGCAGTGGAAAATCCTGTTTAACCTATCTGGGGAAATCTCATTAAAGAGATACTATGGAAGCCCATTTCCGCCACATATGAAAAAAAAATTCATGCTTTGGTAAATCATAAATATGACAGCCATAATGAGAAAGGTTGGAGTTATGAAATAATAAATTATGACACAAAGCTGAAATTATGAGGTCAAAGTTTGACTTTTTATGTCATAATGACTTCATCTCATAATTTTGACTCTTTATCTCAGTCACAGTTATTTCAGAACATTCCTGTAAAAGAGATTTTTAATTTCAGTGATGTTTTCTACTGGTTAAATAATTCATAATTTCGACCTTTCATCATTATTATGACATGACAAAATTAGGAGATACTAAGGCATAATGATGAAATAAAAAGTTGAAATTATGAAATACTAAGACATAATTAAGTTGAAATGATGACAAAAAGTTGAAGACTGAATGCGCGTCGAAGACTGATATGGAAGAGAAGAAATTGTTGAATAAAGTCGTTGTTTTTCTTTTCTTTGCGCACAAATAGTATTCTCGTAGCTTCATAAAATTACGGTTGAACCACTGATGTCACATGGACTATTTTAACGATGTCCTTACTACCTTTCTGGGCCTTGAACGTGTCAGTTGTGTTGATGTCTATGCAGCGTCAGAAAGCTCTCGGATTTCATCAAAAATATCTTAATTTGTGTTCCGAAGATGAGTGAAGGTCTTACGGGTTTGGAACGACACGAGGGCGAGGAATTAATGACAGAATTTTCATTTTTGGGTGAACTATCCCTTTAAATCTCATATATTAAAAACAAATAAATGTAGCTAATGGCCATCTGATCTCACCTGTATGAGTGAGATACCTGGGGTCCACATTAAGGTATGGAGAGAGAGGACTCATGCTTGCCACTGTTAAGAAAAGCAGCTTTAGTGAGCTACTGAATCATATGCACATCTAGTAATATAATATGGCAGACTTACATGGCACTCCAGCGAGCTGTCTTTGAATACTGCGGGCTAGCAGATCCAAACAGACCGAAGCCTCCTGCACTTCTTGAGCCCGTGCTAGATGGTCCTGATGGCTCCTTATCCATGTCTAGCTTCAGAGGTTCGTAAACCTTTTTACTCAGTTAAACGTTTAAAGATATGCCTAACTTATAGGAATAGCTTTGAGCACGAATGTTAGCCCAAAAAACATCGGAAAACAAATGCAATCTATTCCCTGATGAGCTTTAACTTAGCAGATCAGTAATAAGGTCACATAAGGAGCTGGCTGCCTGGCAGTTGGTCTATTTTTTCAAGAACACAGTCAAATGGTTTAATTAATAAGTATTTTCAGTTTGCTACCACTGCATGGCGAATGTTTAACCTGAAGTTCCTCTTGTTTGCCGTAAAGTAAGCTGTTTTACGGTCATTGAATTTACCATCACAAACAGTTCTCATCACTCAAACCCCCTCGTTTAACATTTTACTGTGTTATAATTTAAGAAAGAATAACCCGTGTGGCGATGGGGACAAACTGTGAATATAAAATAAACTTGCTTTACTGAAGCAGACACACGACCGTTTTTGCGACTGCAAATGATTTCTGGCCAGATGAACACATACAGAAAGTGAAACTAAAGCGAATTAATTCGGAGATTTGCAGAACAGCTGATAAATTGTTTATTAATAACGCAAATGAAATAGTATAATTCGTATAAAATAATGTATGGAATTTATATTTCTATATCTGTGTATTTAGAGGGGAATATGAAACCTGTTACTGAAACGTTTTAAATGGAATTTCATATAGATTACTCATAATTTTACTTAGTAATGAAAGGAAACGCTTTTTAAATGTATTTTGCTTTGTATAGCGTTGAAATTGTTGTCATTTTACAACTTTAGGAAGTGATGATCAATTGCCATGTCACAAAAAGTATTTATTTATTCAAAAGTATTTATTTATTTATTTTATTTGACAGTTATTAATTACGGAAGAATATATAGGCTGCATAAAAATGATTCAATGCCTCCAGACCCTCTTTTTCATTTTACACATTATGTAAAACTAATAATGTACTGTATGTTTTATATAACTGTATAAGTAAAATAGCTAGCTTATAATTATTATTAAAACTAATTTCGATAGTTAAGTAAAACAACATATTTTCTCTTTTTATTTCCTCTGGCATTATTATTATTATATAAATGATCAATTCAATCAATCGTTGTTGTGAATGAGCATATGTTATTTCAAAAGGGATTTATTTACTTTTTCTGTAACTTGGGAAATATTATATTAATCCGTATTAAAAACCCAATTTACAGTTCTTTTTAATTACTTTGTGTGTCACATCTTCTAAACACATTTTTGTATTCATACTGTTGTGTAGTGCTTTTAATAAAATAAAAAGCGTATTGACAGTGGAATGCGGAAGTCCATCCATATGGTATGTACATCACCGGTGAAAAAAAAAAAAAGACATCCGTTACGTCGTCGGCGATGATCTGACAGAGGTGCGGCAGAACCGAGCCGATTTCCAACCACCAAACAGCGTATTACATGCTTGGTAATTACTTTAAAATACATTTTAACGGACTCAGAAGCGTGCATAATGATCAAACAGTGGACGCGTTTGGTTAATCAATACATGAAGTGCAGTGAGGCGACAGGAAGAATATTACAGTGGCTCTCAGTGACTGTACTGAGGAATTTAAATATATCTGAGATCATGCAGTCTCATGCCATATGCCACTCTCTGAGTCTTGCTCAGAATCATACCTCTGGCTCTGTCTGCAGATTAGATTACGCTCTTTCTGAAGTGTATTTTATTGTTGTTTCTTCAAGTGAAGCATCCGAGTAAGCGATCAAAGGCGATTTTATTCACGGATTGTCTGTCTTCTCTCGTGCATACATCGAAATGGTCAGTGATTATACTATTATGTGCTTTCGAGCAACCGTAAGTGCGAGTTATTTCAGCACGAGCTGGCAGTAGTACAGAAAGTACAGCCTGTACACATCGTATTCCGTTTATGTGTGTGTGTGTGTGTGTGTGTGTGTGTGTGTGTGTGTGTGTATCTGGGCCTCGGTGCGAGAGATACGCTCAGATCTGTGATGTTGAATATATGTGGAATTTTATGGCGGGCCGATTGAATCCTGGCCATTATAATACGTGTAAGTTACAGTCAGGCATCACGAGGTCAGAGTGATTAACAGCACAGTTCTATGTGCATTTCAGTATTAAGACCTCAAAACGTTCTTGACGTGGATATCTTGAACACAAGAGAGCTGGAATGTTTTAAAAGACTAAATACAGTTGGACACACTCGGTTGCAGCCCAGTTTAATCCTTTCCCAGAATGCACCGTGTCAATGCACAGTTGTGTTACCTGTTTACCGTTGGTGTGTGTGTGTGTGTGTGTGTGTGTGTGTGTTTGTGTATCTGGGCCTCGGTGCGAGAGATACGCTCAGATCTGTGATGTTGAATATATGTGGAATTTTATGGCGGGCCGATTGAATCCTGGCCATTATAATACGTGTAAGTTACAGTCAGGCATCACGAGGTCAGAGTGATTAACAGCACAGTTCTATGTGCATTTCAGTATTAAGACCTCAAAACGTTCTTGACGTGGATATCTTGAACACAAGAGAGCTGGAATGTTTTAAAAGACTAAATACAGTTGGACACACTCGGTTGCAGCCCAGTTTAATCCTTTCCCAGAATGCACCGTGTCAATGCACAGTTGTGTTACCTGTTTACCGTTGGAACGCGTTTGTTTGGTCGTTTTTTCCGTTATTGCTGAGGTTTCAAGTAGATTGTTATGTATTTCTTTTGCCACGAATGATCAGAGAAGGCGAGTTTATAAATAAATAAGCCTAAGGTAACGTTAAACACGCGAAAATTGGAGATCGGCGAGACTTGAGGAAATGAGGAAATACCCTGGCGCGAACGTCCGCTTTCATTTTACAGTTCGACATGTTATCGCTTTCCGACCGATTTGACAGCTTACGCAGGGACTGCAGAGCTATTCTTCAGGACGGTGTCTAAATATCAAGAGTGATTCTTCTGAACGGTCTCTGAATGTTGGGAGTGGATCTTCAGAAGGTTCTCTGAATGTCAGAACGATTCCTCAGGATGCTCTCCAAATGTCAAAATGATTCCTCTGAACGCTTTTAAATGTCAGAATGATTCCTCGGAATGTTCTATAATGCCAGAAAGAACGGTGTTTTAAATGTCAGAGTGATTCTTAAGAGTATTCTGTAAATGTCAGAATGTCAGTGTAGAACCTTCTCTAAATGTAAGACTGATTCTTCAGAACGGTCTTGTTTGGATCTCATTAATGTCAGTCGTGGACAAGTCTGCTTGATGTTTGTTAATGCTGCAGATACATTCAAGCTTCATTATTCTGTAGGCATGCATATAAGCTTAAAAGCCTATAAAAATATCCATGCAAGAGGAAGTAAAATATCTTGCATCGTAGATCACGAGTCTCCGGCATAAATAGTTTTTTTCAATGGCCTGCGATTATACATGTAGTAATATTTTCCCGTGACTGTACAAAACGTCTGTTTTACTCGCTATCTACACTAAACGAACTTCTTTTAACAGATATAGTTCTTTATTCATTGACAAATTGACACAGATGGGGAGATTCACTTCTGTTCGTTTCTAAACCAGACAAATTGTCAGGCATTATTCTCAAAAAAAAATACTGTATGTATGTTATTATTGCTGGTACTGTTTAATCAAACTCAAGATTTTTTTGTTTGTTTTTGTTTCCTACTAGGATTAGCTGAGGTGTAAATTAAGCCTGGACTAGTCACAGCTCCCCAAGCGAGAAAACAACAGAAGGGCCGTGAAGATCAGCCCTAATGGAGGAGACAGAAACAGTGCTGACCTGCTCCGAGCAGGACGCTTTAGGAGCAGACTTCATCACGGTAGAGCTTGACACCCAGCCCATCGAATATGTGGTCAAGTGGGCCGAGGTGGGCTCAAAATTCACTATAACCTGCGTGAAAAAGGATTTGGACGAGGATGCTTGCTTCACCGCCAATCAGATGGTGAAAGTCGAACCGGATGAGACGTTCTATGTCCCTTACGACACAGTTTACACAGAATGTGACGAAGCAGCTCCAGATTTGATTGCGACGCATGAGGAGGAGGTGGGCAGTGAGTCAGACTTCATCTACAACACAGAAGCAGGGAATAGCCAGTTGTGCGATGAGGAGTACCTTTCTGATATTTGCTGGGAAAGGGAGGTGTCTCATGCTAGAACATATAACTGCCGCTTTTGTGGCAAGAGCTACAGCCATTCCTCCAGTCTTGCTCGCCATCTGCACGTACACTCGGATAGATCGTCCCTCACTTCCTCTAAAGATTTCGGCAAGTTGTGCGGCAACAAAAAGTCTCTCCAGTGCAATCTATGCGGGGTAAGGTGCAACGGCAAGCGGCTTTTGGCGATACATAAGAAATGCCACAAAACCAAGAGACTGCACACGTGCAACACCTGCGGCAAAACGTTCAATCACAGCTCTAGTCTGTCGCGGCATCGGTTAATCCACAAAAAAGGCTTGGATGAAAACGTCAGACCGCTGTACCCAACTCCAACCCTGGCTCCCATCATGACCCAGCACAATTTCCCATCCAGCTACGGCACGAGTAAAAGAACGGCGAGCCTCTCCTCAGGCGAGCGAGAAAAGCAGTACCAGTGCACGCAATGCGACAGGGTCTTCAGCCACTCCGCGGGACTCTCCAAGCACCAGGTGGCTCACGTGCGACAGCTGCTCAACTCTTACACGCACGGCAAAGCCTCGCTCGACAAGTCCTCGGACCTCAAGATCCGCCTGAAGCTCTGCTCCCGCGACAAGCCCAACTACTACACCCTGTGCAAGAAGCACGGTAAAGGGGGCAAGAAGAGGCTGTGCCTGCCGAACGATGAGCGCATGTGTGAGAAACGCTTCAGCCACACCGCCAGACTCTCCAGCGACAAGTGCTACACCTGCAACGTCTGCAAGAAGACCTTCATTCGGCTCTCCAACCTCAAGCAGCACCAGCAAACGCACGCTTCGGGAAAACTCTACGAATGCCCACAGTGCGGGAAAACTTTTGTTCACTCCTCCAGTTTCTCACGCCATAAGAAGGTCCACACGATGATAAAATTGTCCCCGAAACGGGAAGACATTAAGTGCGAAGAGGAACTGGTCATCGATGAGGTGGCCCCGCTGGAATATGAGTCCGAGTGAGAAAGACCGAAGCTCTGGAACTGTCAAGGCCTAGCTGATGGGGGAAAATTATGTTTTGTTTAGTTTGTTTTACGAAATCGTAATTTGGGTGTGGCGTCCCTGGCTGTGTGGGTTCTATCTAATGTTCTTGTAATTATTATAGCCCTTTTTGGCCACCTTTAGGGGATGTGGTATCCACCTTTGTTGATATAAAAAAAAAATTTTTTTTTTTTTTGGTTGACATTCCCTTTTGTTTTGTTCGTTCAGTTTATTGGCAAAGTAATTATTTACAAGCCAAATCGTGTAATTTATGTTCCTTCGTTTTTAGGTATCCACAAGAAAAACAAAAGAGAAATGTAGGTGTTATTTATTTTTCCTTTTCTTGCACTGAATCTGTGAACCCAAAATAAAGTACTTATTAAGGTGTGGGTTGTAGTAGAGGGAGGTGAGGGGCAAAGGTCAGATTGAATTCAAGTTTGTTAGTAGGAACCAGAGTTTTGTATGCAAGAAGTACATTTATGTGCAATTTACTTGAATATCGTTCCATTAAGTGTGCGGTTTGAATCAATTATTTCTCCTGTAATTATATTTAGTGACCTAATTTCCTAGACCAAGAAATTCAAGGCTTTTCTCACCTGAAGTCTGGAGACACAAAAACATGTTGCTGTATGGTTTTATGGGATATTAAAAAATAAAAATATATCCAGGTATAAACTGCTGGACGAGTGCAAATGGATAAGCTGTACTCTGGACTAACAAGTGTTTTGGGGTGTTTCAATTGTTCTGGATTGAACTAGTTTCCTCAACATGTTGTCTTTGGTACTTATTTCCTCTTTGATGTTCTTTTGTCAAAATATGAAATCCATTGTGTCCATGGAGGGTATTTATGATAATACGTTCGATGCTTATTGGACATGGACATGTACAGATGCGATTAAAAGATTGTTCATATAAATTTGTGTGTGTGCACTTGAGTGAATATGAGAAAAGAATATACCCGCAAAATGTGTGCTTTTTACTTCTGCTGTATATGTGTAAAAAGTTGCAGTTGCAAAAAGAAGTTCTATCTGATTTATTTTTCTGTATCTTCATAAGTTATGGAATAGCCAAGGGATTTCATATTTTAACAAGCATTGCACTATTGTATTTTTAGACAAGCACTACATCTTTAGGAAATTGGAATGCGACTTTGGATCTCCCGGTCAAAACCTCAAAGGAATGAGGCACGGAAATATCTTCCACGCATTTAAAAAAAAATTGATCAAGTGCCCTCAGCTACTTTGTGTAAGACCAAAGCTCTTCAATGCAGCACTGAAGACCTGCAGTTCAGCTCATCAAAGGCGTGTAATCAGCCTCATGTTCGATCTTCATACGCGGCTGGACTTTTGCTCAACATGTGCTGTCTGAATTGAAATTGAATAGCAATTACTATGGTGTTTGAAAAATGAGACGTTGAGAAGTGTTGGGATACTCGTATGAAGCACTGATGATACTTAGACCCAGAATGATGTTATTAAAAAAAGAAAAAAGCTCTTGGTACTCTATAGTTTTTTTGGAGTTGTTGGTTGTTTTTAAATATCCCTTTTGTTCTTAAAGCACAAGTCATATTCCCCAGTCTTATGGATCTTTTATTGTCATTGTTTTTAATTTCAATAATATAAGGTTTATCACTGACCTGTACACACACTTCATATTTTGATTTGAATTTGTCATTTTTCTTTTTCAATTGCTGTAGCTATTTCATCTCTCAATGCAGCAGACCTACATGTTTTTGTATTGTGTTTGCCATTAGATAACGGTTTAAGAGTTCTGTCTTGCATTTTTTGTAATAAATAATTGGTTCATGAATCAGTGGTCTATCTGATTCTTGCTTAAGCTTTGTAGTATGGTTCAGTCATTTCAATTACAGTCATTTAAATGAAAAAGCCCAGATAGAAGACACCAGTCCAGTTGTGGCAGATAGTCAGTTTACAAGTCTCATTTACTGAGAGATATCTAGGCTTACTTATATATTACAATTTAATTTTATATTACATGTTATTGCCCAATTATTGTCCTATTGATTCCAGGCTCTGCCTGTTAAACAAGTCCTTGCTGAAAATACCACCCGTAGTTGTCGCCTGTAGTTCTGTCATCGTCCAAAAGATGTCAGCAAAAGACAACTTAGGGAAAGGCAAGGTAACACAAACACTTCAGCGCACATCGTAAGGCTTTGTATTCCTACGAAACAACATAAAACTGCTAGAATAACTAGGCCTATATATATATATATATATATATATGTGTGTGTGTGTGTGTGAATGAAAAAGCCCAGATAGAAGACACCAGTCCAGTTGTGGCAGATAGTCAGTTTACAAGTCTCATTTACTGAGAGATATCTAGGCTTACTTATATATTACAATTTAATTGCATATTACATGTTATTGCCCAATTATTGCCCTATTGATTCCAGGCTCTGCCTGTTAAACAAGTCCTTGCTGAAAATACCACCTGTAGTTGTCGCCTGTAGTTCTGTCATCGTCCAAAAGATGTCAGCAAAAGACAACTTAGGGAAAGGCAAGGGAAAATGCACAGCTGTATATAAATTTATATTCCTATTTACAAGTGAATCTTTATATATTTACCAATTAATGAATATCTGTGTGTCTGTGTACAGTTAAACTCCTAATTCAGTAATACTGACATTAGACCAGTTAAACGTAAAATGCATTGTTTATATGTGGAAGTAGAAGTATAATATCATTACTAGATGAACTGGTGGTAATATCTAGCTAAACTTTTCATTAGGATCATAGACTATACAAAAAATCAGCTGATGGCCAAATTAGCCTAATTATCATCTCCTAAAAGTGTGGTATTGGCTGGTCTTTGGCAACACACAAATGCACAGAAGCAAATATATCTGCTAATAATAAGCATAAGCTGCAACTGTATAATGAAGGGAGAATTTGTTGAATATCCCTCACAAAACATACTGTGGCAGTACCATAGTGATGGTATCAGATAGTAATGCATAATAAATATAGCATGATACTGGAATTCATGTTCTACCCTGATATTTACATGATACTCTGGTTCATGTCCAAAACACCATAAACCATAGTACTTGATAATGAAAAGTGTAAAGGGCAGGTGAGTCTATTTTTGGAAACGCAGTAATAAAAAATGTTGTTTGCGCCCCCACCTTCCCACCTTACAGGATTCGGATGTCTTTGCCAACAGGTTTGACCGAATAGAACCGAAATGATCAAAAGATAAATTTTCAAAGCTTAGCCTACTCTGTTATTTTATGACGTTTGCTTTTTTTTCCTCTTTTATTATTTTATTTAAAAAAATGTAGTAAAGTTCAAAAAGTCTAAATATTTACACTTGTGAAAAATTTAAATGTCAAAGAACAAGAATTTGAACTTGCCTGAGGTGTGATTATACACCTCTAAATGCCTGAAGCGAAAGACACAAAACAGCTTGCCAGATTTCATGTGTTATTAACAGATTCAGCAATAACAGCATAGTAGCATATACTGTACAGTACATGTATTGAGACATTATCAGGACAAAACATCTTTCTCCACTAACATACATATCTGACCCTGTCAGCTGCTGTTGACGCCACAGCTCAGGTTAATCACTAATGAATGTGTGCCTTCTTGATATAGCTGCGGCAGAAACATTTAAGTATTCATGTAATGTGACTGTTTTATTGTAAACATTGTCAAAGACTTACATATTTCACTCTCTAAAGGTATGCCACAAGACATCCACACAGGAAAGAAACATGTCATTGCTCAAATTATGCTATTATACCAGGGGTGTTCAAACCTGCTCCTGGAGGGCCGGGGTCATGCAGACTTTAGCTTCAACTATAATTAAACACACCTGAAGCAGCTAATCAAGCTCTTCAGTCTCATTAGAAACTTCCAGGCAAGTGTGCTGGAGCTAAACTCTGCATGACACTGGCTCGGCTTGGATACCCCTGTATTAAACACATTTCTGTTACATCTGTTGTTTTATGCTTTGTTCAGTTGGATGTTGTTTCTTTACTTTTAAGTTAAGCTAAATGTTAAAGGGCAGAGGTTCTTAAGCTTTTTGACTCTTGACTTTGAAATTTGAAGCCTGTTCTATCTAAGATTATATTTACTTCTGGTACTTCTGTTGTAATAAATAAAAAAATTATGCCAATTTAATTGGGTTTTTATCATTTTAATTAAGATTATGTTAATATAACTAAACTTTTTAAGACTTAATTCTAATACAGCTGAAGTTTTATACTTCTTTGATCGGTTAGAAGTTGTTTACAGATTAATGTTCAATATAATTCTGCTGTAAATTTAGAAAACGTGCATGTACTGCAGTGAAATTGCAGTAATGCATTTTCACATTTTTTAAACAACAACAACAACAATAATAATAATAATAACTAATATATTTGCAATATATGTATTCTATCTTTATTATTATTGGCAAAAATAAATTGCACATTCCAATTCATTCATTTCACAATTAATTACCCAGAAATGAGAAGTAACACATTAAATTAAACATGGAATTTTGAAGTAGGAAGACTGAAATCGTATATTCTTCTATAACATACTCCAATAATCTTTACTTACAAAATTATTATTTTTTACAGTGTAGGTGTAAAAAACGACTGCATTTTTCTCAGACCTTGCTCTCCAAAACCTACTGGTGGTGCTCTAACATCAGACGCAGAGCCAGTGCTCAATGAGAAAGACTCCTCACTGTCCCTCCCTGAAATATGTCAGGGTCAGTCAGACAGCCATGAGATCCCATCAGATGAAGAGATGAAGAAATAAATGTGTGTGGACACAGCGGCGGGGCGGCGAGAGAAAGAAACATACAGAAAAGAGAAAACAAGTTCCCATTTGAATTCTGGTGCTCCAGCTGGGAGTTCTTGGGCCATCGAAGTGAATCAAAGTTTGCCATTGTTGCCAACCTTGCGGGCTCAGGCTTCCTGGTAACCCTAAAGTGAATTAGCTGAGCTTTTCTACAAGCCTAGAAACAGCTCCTCTGTTCCTCAACAAAAAGCCCATTGAGATGAAGGGAGCGCTGGCCTCCCCAGGCTCTTGGAAAGCCAACCCCGGGCCGATGAATGGAAGCTCCAGCTCCCATTAAGACACTGGCCACTGTGGGAAATGCTGGTGATGTCATTATCAATGCATTTCTTACTGTTTTTGTTGCTTTTTCACAGCTTTGGCCCACAGCCTCCCCCTTATCCGCTAGTGTTCCCTTCCTTTTCCTTTTAGACCCCTATTATGAGATGCATCCCCGTGCAAAACAAAAAAGGGGGCAAAAACAGAGTGAAGCTCGGTTGCTGTGGAAACGTGGAAACAGAACAGCAAATGGGAAGGGAGGGGGTGCTCCTCTTTGAAATCGGTCAGTATGAGAGGGAGAGACAGCACACACACAGAGAGAGAGAGAGAGAGAGAGAGACCCGCTAAGAATTACAACACCTCAGAAACAAATCTGCAATTCTTCATGGTCCAGTCGTTCAGCCAGACAAAGAGTCTGAATGTTCAATTGAGTTGTGGGATCTCACAGTGTCCTGCATCCAGAATGGCCAGACCGCATTGACTGAACTTTATAATACTTTATAATCCTGAATGAAGTCAAAGTGAAAAAGAGTAAATAAGAAGTCATTCATGAGTCATTTTTTTTTTTTTTTTAGTTTGATGTCTATATGGATCTCAGTGAAATTTATATGGGTATTTCAATTCAAAATCAAAAGAAAATAAGTATTTCTTGCAACAACAAAAAAAGAAAATCATCCAGACACATTACAGTGATGAGAATGAACCCTTCTTTAAAAGTCACTAACATGTCCTTCCAGCAACTGCTGCTTTCTGACATATTTTCGAGACAATCTTTTA